CTGTGTCCAGTCCCTCCGCCCACTTACCTTAGGGAGATCAGCTGATGCTCCGCTGCTGCTGCGTCCGCCTCTCCCTCAGGTCAGGTAAGGGGGCATGCATGCATGCGGGACACATGTGTGCCTGGATTCCTCTTCTCCTCCCTGCTCCTGGCTCCCGAGTGCCACAGATTTTGATTAGCTCTTTACAACTAGTAAGTCTAGGTTTTGACTATTCATTTTCCATTTTCAGCCCCTATTGTCAACCATGTAACTAGTTTTGCCAGAAAACTTAAGTTTAACAATTGTAGTTTAAATCATGTCAGTTTTGGATCTAATGATTTTTTTTTTTTTACTATTTCAAAAAGGAAGCTTTCATTTGAAAATTTAAATTGGGGCCAGATTTGTGGCTCTAATATGGCTTTTGAACAAGCAAATAATGCAAGTTAGTGGATTCTTTGCTATAGGAATATTATTTCACTTGGAAAGTATTTTTAAATGCTTGCTTACTCGCAAGTTTAGAAGGAGTTGTTACTTTGCACTTCTGGAGTAAATAAACGCTCCTGATTTTCTCATTAAATAGAGTAACCCTGCAATTGATGTTTTAACCCCCAACCTAAGCAGAAGTACTAAGTAAGAAGATACCATTGTTTAGCAAGCCTAATTACTACAGTATCAAAGCACAAAGATTTAGCTTGGAGTGCTTATCTTTTTTTGCATTTGTGCACATTTAAAATGCAAAATAAATATTACTGTGAGTACAGAAATTCTAAAATTTAACTTCATAGGAAACCTAGTGGAATAGAAAGTTTATAAAATTACAGCAGCTGCAGTGAAATAAATATTTTGAATCTTTGCTATATATTTTCTGTAGGTCTTGGAAATGTGAACCTGGCATTACAGAATTGACCATTTGTTGTTGTTAAGCACTAAGACCAAAAGTTTGTTTTATGTATGTTTCCAGAATAAAGACAATGACACGCTTAAGGACCTGTTGAAAGCAAATGTTGAAAAGCCTGTAAAAATGCTGGTGTACAGTAGCAAGACACTGGAACTGAGAGAAACTTCAGTAACTCCAAGTAACTTGTGGGGTGGACAGGGCCTGCTGGGAGTGAGCATTCGTTTCTGCAGCTTTGATGGAGCCAATGAAAACGTATGGCATGTGTTGGTATGTAAAGTATCTCAAAGATTTCTCTGACTGCAAAAATGTATTGCTTAAAAGACATTTTTAGCTAAGACTAACAAGCATTCACTCCTCTCTTGGGAACAAAGTGTTTGTGTGCTAGGTGATTCTGTTTCAGTGAAAACATGCATTTGGGGAATATTTTCATATCTTACATTTCTGTGCATTGTGCTGTAATAGGAATTTTGAATGCTTTGTGGTATCTTAATAGGATGGAAATAACATAGAAAATGTCTAATTAAACTCCTGTTTTGTGTTTTTTAAATCCGGTCTATTTACCAGGCACCTTGATTCCT